TTTTTTTCTTCATTATTCTCCTTCTCTATCTTCTTTCTCTTATTTCCTTCTTCCCAGATATTTCCCACCCCACTGCCCACCTTTTTTTGGTTACTGTTCCTGTGTGATTACACAGTGTGTTTTTTGTCCATTTGCTTTTAATTTTTTGATGTTTATTAAATTGTTGTTTTTGTCTGAGTGGGAGACAGCTACAGTCCCCATATGACACAACTATACAAATACCTCATGCAGCTTCACTTATCAAGTGAGAGCCACTACCTCCTTCTCCACCAATGGGCCAATGATAAAAATCCACCAAAAAGAGCCTGAATCACCCTTAGCTGCTCTTCACAAACAGTTAATAGTTCTCTAAATAGAGCAATGTCACAATGTCTCAGAGACAACAGACCATCACCATCCACACAAAGAAGCAAAATAAAGTGGTAGAAACAAGGGAGAAGGATACAGATCCAGAACCCATCCCTGAGGAAGAAGCAGAATTAGAACTGCCTGATAAGGAATTCAAAAGAATTATATTTAGCTATCTTCAAACAGTTGAGAGATAGATTAAGGGAAACATAGACAAAACCTTAGAAGTATTTCAGGAGAAAATATAAGAACAAAATGACAAAATAAATGAAAAATTAGAAATGATTCAAAATCTACAGATAGAAATCCAGAAGATTAATACTAAATTGTCAGAAATAGATAACACATTGAAAGGACAAAGGAGTGGAATTGATGCAATGGAAGACAGAATTAATGAGATTGAAGAAAAATACCTGAATACTTCTTTAGAAAGTGATCAATCAGAAAAAAGATCAAAACAAAATGAAAAAAAGTCTAAGCTTCATATGAGATAGAATCAAAAGGAATAACCTACATGTCATTGGAATTCCAGAACAGGAAGAGAAAAATAAACCCACAGAGAAAATTGTCCAAGACTTGTTGAAAGAGAACTCCCCTGATATGATGAAAGATGAGAACATATCCATTCAGGAAGTCCAACAAACCCCAAACAGGATAGACCTCAAAAGAAAATCACCAAGACAAATCATCATCCAACTCATCAAAATCAAAGACAAAAAAAGAATCCTGAAAGAAGAACAGTAAAAACAAAAAGTTACTTACAAAAGACAACCAGTAAGAAGCTCTGATTTCTCAGCAGAAACCATGCAAGCAAAAAGGCAATGGGATGGTATATATAAAACCCTGAAAGAGAAAAATGTTCAACCAAGAATTATATACTCAGCAAAATTGTCCCTCAAATATGATGGTGAAATTAGGAGATTTCCAGATAAGTGGAAAATAAGGGAATTTTTTAAAACCAGGCCAACCTTACAAGAAATACAAAAGGGAGTCCTTTTAACAGAAAACCAAAAATAGCAAACAATATTTGACCATTAATACACAAGATGACATAATCCAGAAACCACAGCAATGTAAATATCCAAAGTAAAATAAGCTTACATGATTGTAAACAGAGAACCAGAGACATTAATTGGCAAATGAGGACAACTACATATCAAAAAGAGGGAAAATACTGTGTAGTTACAGAACTTCTAAATGGTGAGGAAGT